AAGTCCACCAGCCACTCCACTGAAACAATCTACAGGGTTGCAATGAGTAGGAACCGACTCGATGGCACTTAACAACAATAGCGAATTAGCCACTCTCATCAGTAAAGTTATTAAGAAAAACAATGGCCCTGGTATTACCAATGTTGTATAGCTCATCCGCGGTCAACTACATCCTGCAGCCAGCAGCCTTATCGAACAGCAAACCACTGTAGGTTGCTTTCTACCATCTTAGCAAACCTTTGCCTACAGATGCCAATAATGTTGCTTTCTGTTGTTTGAAAGAGGATCCCAAACCCCATTAAGAAGGATATTTGGGGTCAAGGTGCCCTGGCCCTGGGGCTGGGATTTCCAGTCCTGCCTGAGGGGCTCCCAAGGTGGTTCCTGCTTAGGCTGATGCTGTCCACCCCCACCCCACCCCGGTTTCTCCCAACAGATGGCCGCTCCTGTCCCGTGGGCCTGCTACGCTGTACTTGCTGCCGCTGCTGCAGTTGTCTACACCCAGAGACACAGTCCGCAGGGTGAGTGCTTGGGGAGCTCCCCATCGACCTCCTCACTGAGGGCATGAGCTCTGACTGGCACAGCTGAACACTGACTCCACCCAGGAAACAGACTGGCACACACTGGTGTAGTCACACACGAATCCCCGGAGGGACATGGAGTCATAGGAAACTGACATGCCGCGTGACCCACAGATAGGGGCTCTCAGGCACAGTCCCCCACAGTCATACCTGAGTGGTCACATGCTAATGGTGTCTCTGACTTGAATGGATCTGTCCCTCTTCTCATCAGGGTGGGTGTAGGGTACAGACAGATAGCTATCTGTGGAAGGGTACCTTCCAGAGGCTGTGGGAATGCAGTTAGAGGCACTGTGAGGAAACAGTGGACAAGATATTGGTCTTCTAACCTCGGCTCCATCTTGGAGGAAAGATAGAGAACTGAGAACAAGATGGGGGTCAACAGACTGGGAAATATGGGAAAAGGCTGAAACGCTGAGGAATGGGACAGGTTAATGGCTGGTGTGGCTGGAGGGGGAAGGAATTGCTCAGAGTTGGGCCCCTGGCAGCCTCCCTGCCCCCCTGTAGTCCAGTGAGGGCTGTAGCCAGCAGGACAAGGAATTGCCCCCTTATGGAGGAGTTAGGCACCCTCTTAATTTGACTCCCAGCCCTCCCACTGCATTTGAGGGGGCACTTCAGATGGCCACATCAGCATGAGGTCGAAACTTCCTGAACTTCTTGAACAAGGCTCCAAGTGTGGGAACTTCCTCTTTCATGGGTCTTGCCCCCTACCTTGGTGGATCACAGAGGCAGAGAAGATGGGAGCATCTCTGGGGCTCAAGGCACAGAGCAGACCCTTCTGTCTAAACTCTGCCACCCTCAAGGCTGTGGTCCAAGGGAGGCAGTGGGTCGAGGCGCTCATGGCCTCCTCCTGGGTACTAACACCAAGACCCAAAAAGAGCCTTGCTGTCCCCAAGGCTACTTCCCAATGGACAGTGGCCAAAAGAATCACCAGGCCAGCTCATCCTCTCCTGCCTGCATTCCGTCTCTCTTGGCTCCTGTGCTGACCATATCTGCCCAGGGCCTGTCATTGGTCACTGTCCTGAGCAAAGGTGAATGCTTGTGTGCAAAGCCAGGCCACATGCGTCACTGAGAGTGTGAGACTGCCCTTGGGCGTGAGTCTGATCTTGTGCATTGAACTGTGTTCTTGTGTGGGTAAGACTGTGTGCCCCTTTGAGTGTGCCTGTGTCCTTGTGGGCTGTACCACGTACATTGTATGTCCTTTGTGGGACTATGTCTGAGTGTTTGAGGCTGTCCCCACACAAAACCAGGCCTGTAGATGACAGTACCCTTCTTATGTGTGCCTGTACTCTTGTCTCCAGGGTGACCATCCCTGAAGTGGGACAATGTCCCTGTGTGACTATGACCTGTGGATGATTGTCGTGTGTGCTTGTTCTTTGTGGGTTACCTTCCTGTGTGTGTGGCAGTATGAAGTTGCTTCGTTGGGACACCTGGATAGGGGGACTGTTTCCGGCCTGTGGTCCCCATGTGAGCCAATGTGTGCAGGTGTGAGGGAGCCGCCAGCTCTGTCCCTCTGTGTTCTGCATGTCCATGACCTCATCCTGTCTCTGTCTCTCATCCTGGCTTCTAAAAACCTTTTCACAGCTGATTCCTTTGGAGCATTTGTCACTGCGTCAGGGCCAAGAACCCCGTCCTCCCCCTGCTGCTTGATTTAATTTCTGAAATGGACAGCACATCAGTAGAGGCACCTAGGGGGCAGGAGGCGAGTCATCCGGAGACAAAGGACTAAATCACTGCCATCTCTGGAGCTGTTGCAGACTGCATGTATCGCCATGGTTGTGTTATTGTAGCAGTTGTGAGGTTGTGTGGTTGTCATGGCACGTTGCTTTGTGGCCTGTAGCTGCCTTCTGTCATGTGTTGTCACATTTTCATTCCCACCCTGGCCCTAACATTCTGGGACTGTGGTTGTTGGGTTGTCTCCACCCCTTTTGTGAGGCGGGTAAGGTGTGTGTGGTGGCGAGGAGAGGTCCACCGCCATTGTATTTGTCTCCTCTGAGGCCAGACTTGCACCCCAACATGAAAGCGCCCATCCTGGCCTAGTATTGGTTCTGAGCTGTTGTTGGTCAGTGTTGATGTGTTGCCCCTGGGACCATGGTGACCACTCCCCCTCCCCAATGGTCAGTTTTCAGCATCCTCCTCAGACAGCTGGATGCAAAGTCTCTGCTGGGGTGGGGGGTGGGGGATGAAGGGAGAGGGGCTTGGCACGTTTCCTGGAAGCTCCAGGTTTTTGGAAGGGAGGCTAGAGGGGGGCTCAGTGGTTGGAGCTGGTTGCAGGGTGGGGGTGGGAGGTGGGGGCTCTATGGCCTGAGCCTCGGACAGTGGGCCTCTGGTCAGGGGAGGCCCTCGTTCACTCTATGATCCAGCTTCACAGCTGTGGCCTCCAAGGCCCCCAGCCGCCGCCCTTCCGCCCGTTCATCCTCTGCTCCACAGACGAGTGGTCAGAGCCCACTGCTTCCCTAGCCTCTGAAGGGGACAGAGAGGCTCAGAGAGGGGCAGGACAGCGACAGGCAGTTAGGAAGTGGAGACCCAGAGACCCGGCAACAGGCAGGGAGACAGAAGCAGCAAACAGGGACAGATGTTCCAACACCCAGCAAAACCCTACTGGGGAGGGGGCTGGGCTGGGGAGAGGCGGCTGGCCGCCAAGGGGGATTCCCCACCCCCTGCAGTCCTGGTGGTGTTAACAAGTCTAATTAAGAGGCCACTGGCCCAACTTAATTGGCTCGTTAACAGGAATCGCCTCTGAAAATCCCCCAACACAGCGGGGTGGCTCTCTGGAGGGGAGATGTGAGCGAGTGTTAACGAGGGATCCCGCAGACCCCCCACCCCACCCCCTCCCCCTTCTCCCCCTCTCCCACCCTCCCTCCACAGATCTGGCTCGGGCCTCTGGCCACAGCCAGGGAAGCATCTGTCCTTCCAGGCTTGGGGAGCAGGATGAGGGGAGTGGGGAGTGCAGAGGGGTCCCGGGATTCTATCTCCCTGGCTCTGCCTTCCTGCTGTCTCCTTGCTGGGCTGTGGGCCTGCCTCCCCCATCCAGCACTGACTCTGACAGGTGCTCCCTCCCACCCTTCCATCTCCAGTCTCCTGGGCTCGGTCCATCACGCCCGGGTTGCCGAGGCCAGGACTGGGGGTTGCTTTTGGCTCTGACAAGGCCTCTCCTGGGGGCAGGAGAGGAATGGTCAGCGTGCTCACTCAGTCCCAGCACCCTCAGCTTGCCCCATGCAGTTCCTGCCTCATGAGGTTGACAGCTGTCAGGAGTTCCTGAGGGTTCTTGTCCTAGACCTGCCCACTTTCTCCTGTGGCTGCTGCCTGAGCCCACCCTGGATGGTAATGGGGGGGGGAGGGTCCTCAGGAGGGCCAGAGTGGAGGGGAGGGAGAGAGGCAAGACAAAAAGAGTCCAGGGTGAGGGAGAGAAAGAGGTGAGGGAGACAGAGACAGCAGCGTTTAGTGGTGGGGCCCCTCAGCTCCAGTTTGACTGGGCAGCAGATGTCAGAGATAAGAGATGAGGGTCGAGGGTCAGGAAAACTTTTGAAAACACACAGGGATTGGAAGTGAAATGGGTTTTCACTGAGAACTGACCCTCCCAGCACCCTCCACAAACACTTAAACAAATTGCCCATTTATACACACAGCCACCCTGACACAGACACCCACTTGGAGGCCTTCGTGCACCATCAGAGTTTTGCACACGCACCAATTTCTCCTCACTCACACCCTCATGTTGGGGAGCCGGGCAGGGCTGTGACCTGTGACTTCTGCCCTGTGTCCCTTACCCCCCACAGAAACACCCCACGTGCAATACGAGCGCCTGGGCTCTGATGTGACACTACCGTGTGGAACAGCAAACTGGGATGCAGCTGTGACGTGGCGGGTGAATGGGACAGACCTGGCTCCTGACCTGCTCAACGGCTCCCAGCTTGTGCTCCATGGCCTGGAACTGACCCACAGCGGCCTCTACGCCTGCTTCCACCGTGACTCCTGGCACCTTCGCCACCAAGTCCTGCTACACGTGGGATGTGAGTGTTGCTCCTGACCTCTCACCTGACCTTCTGCTTTACTCAAGGGGGTTGTCAGTGAGGTTCAGACCCCTGGTCTAGATCACACCCCCTTCCTCAGGGCTGGGATGGGAGTAGCCTCCCATTCTAGTCTGCTGTTCTGATCAGTCTTTCCCACTGAGTCCAGACCTGTCCATTATCCTACCCCCCTACCCCAGAGGTGGGGTCTTTGAGAGGCTGCTCCCCATGACAAGATGGGTAAGGAAGATGGCAGGCAGGGTCCATTTGGGTCCCGGTGGGATCACACCTCTGAACTGGAGTGGCCTCACTGTGTGGAGCTGTCTCACGGCTTTCACAAGGGTTGGCCATTATGGCCCTACCTATGAGCACTTTAGAAGGCCCCTCGGAAGGAGGAATGTGAAAAACACATTGGAAATATAATTTCTGGCAGAGAGTCCAATATGGCGATAGACCCCAGCGACTGGGAGAGCACGGGAAGGCCACTTGTTATAAATGAGACTAGGGAGAGGGCAGAGGTGGTGCATGGTCCTGGAAGCTGGGTGGGGAGTGCCAGGGAGGGTCAGGGTCATGTTCTTAGAAGATCCCTCTCAATGCAGTGAAGAGAGGAAGTTAGAGGGGACCAAACCAGGTTGGGAGGGAACAAAAATAGGAGGCAGTAAGAGGGGACAAAAATGGGAAGGAAGCTGTTTCTGGGATCCAAAAGAGATGTGAGGACCTGGGACAAGGCCATGGAGTTGGGGAGGTCAAGAGGAGGTAGTTGGATCTCAGGGGTTAGTGATGGATTAGAGGTGGCAAGACAGAAGTGTTGAGAGTGGGAAGGGTCAAGACAGCTGTCAGTACCAGTCACTTTGACAGGGTCAGTGTGGAGGAGAGGACGATGTGTTTTCCTTGGACAGTGTCTTAGTTCAGGTTTCCCTAGAAGCAGATCCTGAGATGAGAATTTGTATGCAATTCGTTTATTTGGCGAGTGATGGAACCACCATTAGGGAATGGGAAAGTGACACAGAACAGGGAAGTGAAGCTATCCAATAGAGGGTGAGTCATCAAGACCATTACCTCTGGGCAGCTTAATCCACCAAAGGAATTCTGGGAGCTAATGCATATCTGTCAGCTCAAAGTAATCGTACCTGAGGGGTGAGGAGCTGGGTGATTATTCACTAGCCTCCTGTCTGTCCTAGTTGAAGGATGCTCCTGAGGTGAAAGTAAGGATGTTTTCATTTCCTAGCACTTTTGACCTGATGGCTCAAGCTGGCAGAGTAGGCTTTTGTGGCCAACTATAGAAGCTGGCAGTGGGAAATGGTGGGGCAAGGGGTCGGCACACTCCCAAGATCTGCCATAAACATGATGGGTTGGGGTCCTTGGGAGACAATGAGAGTTGATGGATCTGAGACCTGGGGCTCAGGGGAGAGTCCTTCTTATACTGGATATGGGTGATGGGGGCGGTGAGATGGCCAAGGGATAGATTGTGGAGTGAGGAGGGAAGAGGACCCAGAATTGAGTGCTGAAGACTACCAGTGTAAGGGGTGGATGGAGAGAAACAAGCCGCAAGTAGGGGTAAGAAGAAGCCAGCAGGAAAGCTGAGGGAAGATCAGGTGAGTGTGATTTGGCAGAAGGGTGTGGAGAAACAGACATGATCGATGCTGCTGAGGGCTAGGCATAGGGGCAGCCCTGCATCCATGCACTCCAACATCTGGACAAACAACTGTATCTCACTCAGAAACACCCACCAACAGAGTTGTTGCTCTGAAAACAAAATCTTGTTTCTTTCATTTCTTTTCTTCTTGAACCAAACAAGCTCCTCTGGTCATCTCCTATTTGGATGTGATTCATCCTATTGCTCAGAGATAGTTTCTCTGTTTCTTGGGAGATGCTGAGATACCTGAGTGAAGGCCCTTAATTCCATTGTTGGGAGACTGGTATGGAGGAGTGTGTGAAATGTTAGACTGAAAGGTTGTTCAAGGACCTCCACAAAAGCACTGACCCAAAATGGGGCTGGGGGAGAGGTGAAAATAGGTTTTGGTAAGAATGTAATGTGTTTAAATTGGAGAAATGACAATCATAATTGAAGCTCTTAGATGGAGTCCTGGTGTGGCACTGTGGGATCAGCACTGGACTGCTAACTACAAGGCTGGTAGTTCAAACCCACCAGATGCTCCTTAGGATATCCTATACAGGATCACTGTGAGTAACAACTAACTCAACAGGCACTGAGCAACAAACAGCAAGATGCAAGCCAGGTGGAGTGACCCTGTTGGCAAGCTTGAGAAATGCAAGACCAGCCTAATGGTGTCCTTCCTGACCTGGGTCACCCACCCCAGGGCCCATCACAACTGGAAACTAAGCTTAGCCCTTAGCCCTTATACAGGGAAAAAGCCCTTTATTAGATGGACAAGTCCAACTTGGCACCAGTCTTCTCAGTTTAGGTGCCAAGAATCATCAGGATGGACAAAGCTGGCAACAGATAGATGGGATGAGTCTTGGTGACTGTGGGCCTTTCTTTTTGACCAGTTGACTTGATCTTCTTTCAGAGGTCACTGGGGTGGGGATGAGTCTTGAAGTGATGCTTGTCCTCGCAGGAAATGCCCATAGTTGCCTTGTGACCAGAGCTCACCACTTCCCTCAGACCTGAATTGGTCATAGCATTAGTATCAGGTACTTAACGTCTCATTGCCTATTTCCTTCTAAAGACCAAGTTGGAGGAACAGGAGATATTAATCATGATTGTCTCAGCCACTTTCTATTAGTAACAAGAGACTGGGTATGGCAACACTCAGTATCACATTATCCTCCTCCCAAGCTCTCAGAACAGAACAGAATGACCCTGATTTGTTGATCATTCAAACAAAAAAAAATTATTTAATATTTATCCAAACCATGTAAGACTTTCATGTCTCTATTTTCAAGGGAAAGCGATGACCAAATTCTGTTAAGTCTTACCCAGGCTGGTCCCTAATCACCCTGCCTGGGGTGAATACTCACAAACAGACAGAACTCCAAGGAATCTCTTACCCAGGATTATGAAAGGACTCCACCCGCGTCCCTGGGATCCTTTTAGTATCATCCTTTTCTTTACTAAATACTGCTATTTCAGCATTATTCTGATGTTAAAGCAAGTCAAAGATTAAAATGGTTGTTAAATGGACAGTTCCTTGACAAGTGTTTAGGAACCTTTATTTAATGGTCAGGAACTATAACTCCAGACCCACTGGTTCTGAACCGCTTTCCCCTCATCCCTTTTGGCTGAGAAGGAGAGAGTGTGGCTGAAGAAGAAGGTGCCTGGGGGAGATGATAGGGGTGGTGGGAGTCAGGAAGGGTTTTTTTGGGGAGTTTGGAAGTTAGGGTGCCTCAAGGGAGGACATTAGGTAAGGTTGGGACAGGCCAGTGGTTTTGGGTGCCAGGCAGGAGGAGGCATGTGGGTAGGGCCTGGGCAGTGCTGGAGCTGGGTCACCCAGCCCCACCCTGATCTGGCCTGGCCAGGGCTGTGGGCAGCCTGCCCCTCCTCTTTTCTGGGCCGGCGGGCAGGCCTAGTGCGTGCCGGGGGCTCCAGCCCAGGCGGGCTGGCGAGATGAGAGGAAAAACATGCGGTTTGGTGGGCTGGACATGGAAAAACAAGCCAATTAGAAGGAAAACAAACAAACTTGGGGCCACTGGGGGCACACGCACGCATGCACACGCACACACAGCCCTGCGTGGGACTCAGGGACACCCTATCTGAAGCTGACAGAATCACTTGGGCATCTTAGAAACCCCCCACAAGGGGCAACTCAGGAGGCCTGTGCATCCAGGAGCTCGCCCGAATGCCCACAGTGTAATACGTCTGCGTATGAATGTTTGCCTCCTCAGCATACTCTTACACGGTGCTCACCTCACACTTGGAATTCTGGGCACCTTCCCACACCCGCAGTCTGTTCAGTGTCTTATGTCTCGCTATCACTGTGTATTCACAAACAGCATCTCACCAACTCTCACAGAGCACCTTCACACAGACAATCTCGAAATCAGCTACATACTGAGTCACATGCAGAAACAGTCATTCAGTCACACACAGCCTCAAAATGTACAACAAAGTCTTCACCACACACACATGAAGTCTCACAACCATGCCGATGCTCATAGGCAGCCTCTTAGAGTTCCACACACAGCCTCACAATCACAGTGTCTTAAAAACACTCTGAAAACAGACTCCCCAGTTGCGCACTGTCCCACAATCTCACACTTGGTCTCTCACAACACCCCCACCTCCGCCCACTGGGTCCCTCAGCTGTGCTCCAGCTGCAACAAGTCACTCTTTTTCTTCCTTTTCTTTGTTTTTCTTTCCTCCTTTTCCCTCTGAGAAACCTGGTCCCTGTCAGGAAACCCAAGTCCTTCCCTGCTCAGGGCCCAGGGCCAGGCAGAAGTAGCCAGATGACAGACAAAGCCCCTGCTTAGCTCCCCAGACCCCATGCACTGCCCAGTCAGGGAGGGGAGCTGGTTTCAGGGGGAGCTTGGAAGGGGAGGCTGGTCTGAGGTGGGAGGACAGTCAGCGGGGGAAGGAGACTGGTCAGTGAGGAGGCGGGCCGGGGAAGGGGGCCCATGAGTTCAGTGCCATGGCCCGCTCTGCCCTCCAAAGAGTCCAAGGTGGCAGAATGCTGACTTTGCAGGCTTCAATCCCTTACCCGCCACTCTCCCCCTGCCCCCCCCCCTAGCGCCCTTCTCCTTTGAAGCTGGGGGTTAGGAGGGGTGGCAGGCAGGAGCAGGCAGTGGAGGCTTCTCAGCCGACCTCAGAATGTCCTTTCCTCCTGGGGCAACTGCCAACTCTGGCCTGGCCCACAGGCCCCCACAAGGTACTTCCTGTGTCCTTGGCCGCCCCCCACCCCACCCCCATGCCTCTGTGGCCCTGGGCATATAGGGTAGGGACACAAGAGGCAACGCCAGTATGACCATGGAACAGACACCAGATGAACCCAGGGCCATGAGCAGAGGCAGACAGCAGTGGGCAGAGCAGAGGTTGCCCCTGCGGGGGCTCAGCTGGACTCTAACCCTCCCCTGCAGGCCCAGGGGTAGTGCCGCTGCAACTGCAGCTCACAGCATCACCCACTTCACCTGCTACACCCACACTTTCCTGATGCCCACTGCCCCCTCCTCCCTTCTGCTGCAATGCCAGATCTTGGTCTGGGGGTTCTGCCTCAGCCCCCTCCCTCCATAGCTTCACACATAATGCCACGTACACGGTCACACATGCACACTGTGGATGAAAAGCCACTGTTCCCCATGTGTCACCATGGCCACCCTACAAGCATAGACATGCACTCCCTGGAGTGTGGAACTGCCCCCTCCCGTTTCCTGTCCACCTGTCAGGCAGGGGGTGGGGGGGTACAGGAGGGAGGTGTCAGTGTCCCTGGAGCCGTGGACAGACATTCCTTGCCTGGGTCAGATCACAGAGCTGCCTTCTTCCAGGGACCTGAGCCGCCTGTCCTCACGCCTTGCCCAGTGCCCGAGGATGGGACAGCTGAGTTTAAGTGCTCACAGAAGCAAAATGATTGGGGTGGGTCAGCAGAAAGGACTTTCCAAGTGGACTGTGGCGTTTAGTACCAGCTTGCACTTGCCATGTGACACCCAGGCAGGCCCTTATCCCTGTCTAGGCCTCCCTATTCCAGAGAGAAGGCAGCCTCTACCCATGTACAAGGGTTTCTTAAAGGCTCTTGTGATGAGAAGCCGGGACTAGGGCACATCAAGGGACAGCAGCTTCCCCTCAACAGACACACATGCACAAGTCTACATGAACACATGCTCCGAAAAGCATCCCCAGACTCACACCTACCTACACAGAGCCTCCTATATATGTACCCACATCCAGTGGTAAAACTCAGACGTGTCTACATATTTAGGCAGCACTCAGGTGGGTACATGTATGTACACACACGTAAACAACTACCCAGAGCTCTCTTCTTCCCATGGAGTCTCCAGCCTCTCCTCCTCTCAGTGTCTACCTAGGGCCTCCTATCTCCACCACCAGGGGATGCCTGAGGTGTCCTCTCCAGGAACCCCAGCAACTGGAAGACCCAGTCAGGGTTCTCCTTAGCTTCTGTCACATCTGTCTGCTAAGGCCCGTCTTCCTCTGAGAATGGACAGTGTGGCAGGAGATGTGGGGTTAGGGCCGATGCCTCCAGACAACACCTCCATCCAGTGATTGATGAGCTGAGGCCTGAAGCCCCCTGCTCCCCAAAGTTCCCGCCTCCATTGAGCAGGTGCGGGGAGGGGGTGGCTCCCTCTCCACACAGCCCTTGTTTTTCTTTAATTAAACATCTGGCTCTCTGTGGCCTGGGAAGCCTCAGACCCTCGCTGACAGCACCCCCCCCCCCACCTCTGGCATTGCTGATGGGTTCGGGGGTGGGGAGAACTGGGGCTCTGGGGCCCACCTGTCCCCACACTAGTGCAGGGGACTGGGTGATCCAGGAGTGCCCTGACTATGTTGTCCTTGCCCCCAGTGCCGCCTCGAGAGCCCGTGCTCAGCTGCCGCTCCAACACTTACCCCAAGGGCTTCTACTGCAGCTGGCATCTGCCCACCCCCACTTACATCCCCAACACCTTCAATGTGACCGTGCTGTGAGTAGCTGCGCCTGTGACCGGGTCCCAACCCTGACTTCTGACCCCTGCAACCACCATGCCCTCAGTCCAGTCCAGCCATGGGCTTGGCCTCCCCCTAACCTCTGCCCCACCTGACCCTTGATGTTGGTAATGGTGCCTGGGTCCCACCCCTCCCCAGGCATGGCTCCAAAATTATGGTTTGTGAGAAGGACCCAGCCCTCAAGAACCGCTGCCACATCCGCTACATGCACCTGTTCTCCACCGTCAAGTACAAGGTCTCGATAAGTGTCGGCAATGCCCTGGGCTACAACGCCACAGCTATCACCTTCGACGAGTTCACCATTGGTGCGTGGTGGTGGGGTGGTCCCTTTTGCGTACTCGATTGGGAGTGTTTAAGTGCCCACCAATACTGGTGGGGATGATTACATGTGTGCACAAGTATATGTGGTGTGTGCATGCTGCACGTTGATGTGCGGCATGTGTGCACCTGTGAACAGAAGAGCAAATAGCCTTTATCTGCGGGGGCCAAGAGATATCTGCAGCAACTCTGCCCTTCGTCTCTTTGGCTTCCAGAGTATGCAGGAGGGGAAGGAAGGGGAGGCCAGGCCAGACCCTTGTGCAGCTGCAGCCTCCGTCCCCCACCCCCACTAATGGCTTCCTTACGGACTGTGATGAATGAGGTGTCAGAACAGGAGACAGGACTAGGACAGATACCGCTCTCCCCTCCTCCCCATCCCCACCAGACCCTCTGCCTGCCCCTGCCCCTGTCCCATTCCAGGCAGACCTTCTGCCTCCTCCTGTCCCATCCCAGTCAGGCCCCCTGTTCTGAGTCAGATCCCTCTACCTGCCCTGTCCTTCCCTCCACTCCCATAGCTGAGTCCCCAGCCAGACTACATGAGCTGAGCCCTTAGATTTACCCACCAGACCCACAGCTTACCCACCAACCCAGATTTTTAACACCTGTGGACTTTAAACTTTGAACCCCAGAGAAGCTCCAAATCCAGGCCCTACCAAAGGCGGCTGTGTCTCAGTTTGGAACTTGAAAGGTTGAGGTGACAAATCAGGCTTAGAGGAGGAGGTCATCGGGATGATGATGGAGGTGTTGATGGTAATGCTGGAGGCTTAGTTATTGGGAAGCTAGCTGGTCACCATGAGGATGAGATTGGGATGATGGGATGAAGTTTGGGATATCAAGAGTTGGTGACAGTAACTATAGTGATAGTTATTGGTGATGACAGGGCTATCAGAGGCAGAGGAATGAGAAGGCTGCTTGTCAGGGGTAGCTGCCAGGATTGACAATAGAGATGAGGGTGGCAGCCATGATGATGACAATGGTCAATACGATGGCAAGGGCTGACAAAGTGGGACTCTTACCAGAGAGTCTGTAGTAATGAAGCTATGTTTCTTGAACAGTGAAGCCAGACCCGCCAGAAAATGTGGTAGCCCGGCCAGTGCCCAGCAACCCTCGCCGGCTGGAAGTGACATGGCAGACCCCCTCGACCTGGCCTGATCCTGAGTCCTTTCCTCTTAAGTTTTTTCTGCGCTACCGACCCCTCATCTTGGACCAGTGGCAGCATGTGAGTGCCCTGCCCTGCCTAGATCCTGGTGCCTGAGTCAGAGCCACAAGGTCTAGGAGGCACCTGTATCCTGGTGGTAACAGTTCCAGTGTGGGACTGAGGGTAGTGAGCGAGGCTTTCTGGAAGAGGGACCTGAGGTAGACCTGGGGAATGGGTGGAACCAAGGGAGGTGGCCTAATTCAAGGTCTTTAGGATCTCCCAGTGACCCCATTAGTGCAGTGGGAGCACATCTGTCTGTCTTTGTGGCTCCCCAGGGTGGTAGAGAGAAATGCTGGGAGATGGCAGGTAGGCACTGTTTCTCTTTTCTGACCTCTGGCTCTTGCCCCTGACAGCTATCACCTTCTTTATATTGTGGCCTAGAGCCTGGGTGGGTCTAAATTGGACCCAAGGGGTCTATCTTAAGGACTCACAGCTGGACTCAAAGGGTCAGGATCAGGTAATGGGGTCAAGCCTGGTCCACGATGATATGAGTTCAGGCCATAACAAACATTTGGGTTTCAAAGTCCAGCCTAGCTTAAAGTTATAAGGTGGGAGATATGTAACCTAGGAACCAAGCTGTGGAAAAGGGTATGTATGGGAGCAGGCTGTGGCCTGGGATGCAGGTCAAGCTAGTCTAGAAAGCTCTGTGGGAAAGTCAAGGCTTGGAGCAGACTCAGGGTTCTCTTACACTGAGAGCTCTGGACCTATAGAATTGCAAGAGCTCTGTATGGCCCATGAAGTCTGAGGACAAGGACTGGGCCGGGGAGAGTGTTCTGTGGGTTAGCCCAGGCTGGCTCCTGGGGGTCAACCTGTACTGCTACCTCAGCCACTGGGTTTCAGCTCCACCTCCTCATGCCCTTCTCCCATCTGGCCTTTCAAGTACGTAATTCGATTCCTGGACGTCTGTCCGGGGTTTCAGGCCTGGCCCCCACAAAGGCTGCTCACACGCTCACATGTTCCCTGACAGAGTCCGGAGTCCCTCCCACCTGGCCCGCTGCCCGAGCCTAATGCATTGCTAATAACCAGGGTTTCATTTCACAAGGCTCCCCTCCCCCGCTAACGAGCTACAGGCAGCAGCCCCTCGAGTCTTGGTGCACACGCCTTGCAGTGGACCTGGCGCATTGCCCACTGCACACACGGGAACATGTACACACATACGTGGCCCCCAGCAGGGACCATGTGACTAACATGTCAAAGACAGTGCATTGGCCTGTACCATGGGAAGAGCTGACCCCCCATACATGAACAGAGCAGAGTGTGGGGGCTCCATGTCGAGAACATGCACATGACCTGTGGCATGGTCCAGTCTTGTCCATGTCTCTGGCATTGGGAATGGCTAGATTTATGGCTCTTCTGAAATTTAGTTCTGTTCTGAACAGAATCTGTTCTTCTGCATCCTTGACCTTGGAGAGAAGCAGGTGTATGATTTGGGGGGTGACAGGAGGGGGCAGAGAAAACAACACTTTGATTTTCAGGAGCAGATAAAAGATACAGGCTAGGAATGGGTACCAAGAAGTCCAGTGGGGCCTGTCTCAGCATGAACTAGGGCGAGGCGAGTACTGGGACCCAGCACGGGTTCCTTGTGGCTCCTACTCTGGACCTAACTCCTCAGGGAGGTCGGGAGGGTGTGTCTGACATCTGCTTCAGCAGACAGGATGGAGGATCCAGAGGTAGATGCCAGCCACTTGGGAGTTGCTACCAATTGAGGAGCTATTCCATTAAGGTTGTGGATTAAGGGATTAGTGACAAGCTAGCAGAAGGGCTCAGGTTTAGGAGATGTGGCTGCCAGGAGGGCACTGGGCTCCTGGACCATGCTCCTAGAGGGGTGGGGACAACCAAAGAGGCCCAGGAGAAGAGAATCTCTGGAGCCCACCAGCCTGCCCGTACTGGAGTGGGACCTGCTGACCCTAACCTTTACCAGAGCCTCCTGAATCAGGGCCACAGACTCCATGGGAATTGGAGGAGGGGCCTTCCAGCTCCTCTTGGACCACACTGTACTCAGCAACACACACATGCGTGTACGTACTCAGATTCCATAGGGTCAGGTAGCCCAGACCCCAGTTCTCTGGGAGGAAGATTTAAACAGGGACCAAAAAAGCCCTAAAGCCAGGCATGGCCCAGAGGAGCTCCCTTCTCCACCCCTGCCGGCTGCCCCCGTTTACGAGGCGGCTTAATGAGGCGGCGGGTGCCGCTGAGATGAACCAGAGCCCAGCCTGGGCCTGGGAGGCGTGCTGGACAGGCAAGCCGGCCTGGAGGGTTGGGGGAGACCAGCAGGATGGGGCCAACCAGGGCGGGGGTGGGGTGGCAATGCCTCCAGAAGGAAGTGGAACAGCTGTCCTATTGGCCCCCGGGGGCTGGCCCCCACCTCATTTCCTTCTCTGGCTGGGTGATAATCACACTTAGGCCTTCCTGAGGAGAAGGCCTAACTTGGGCCAGGCTGGTGTGTGCGGTGGGCATCTGGGAACCCTGGCTTGTAGCTGGACCCTGTGATAACTGTAGTGTTGGCTGCAGTCTGTTCGGTCCTTGTTACAACCATGTGAGAGAGACACTATCAGTAGCACCGTGTTACACCATGAGGACACTGTGGCATGTGGACGTTCAGTAACTTAGTTACCCAGCTCGTAAGGGATGGAGCCAAAATTTGCCTTCAGGTAACCTCTTCTCACCTTCTTGATGAAAGATGGAGGAGGAGGACAGCATGACACTATTTCCTCTCATACCCTTTTCCTCTGGTGACAAGAGACTGGCACTAAGGTCAGGAGTCAGGCTGGTGCGGAGAGCTGGGACAACTGCAGAGTCGTCCACACTGAGCCAAGGTGTCTTCATTCTCCACTGGAGGATGTTTCCTGTCAGAATATTTTCAACAGCCCTGTCTCATCTCTCCCAGAGAAGTCCTCAATTACCATAGAAGTCTTCACTTTCCTTCACTTGCTCTGGGGGTACCTTTCTCCTGACCTTTCTCTTGACTTCCCGACTCTGGGATCTGGCTGCAGGTGGAGCTGTCTGACGGCACAGCACACACTATCACAGATGCCTACGCTGGCAAGGAGTATATCATCCAGGTGGCGGCCAAGGACAATGAGATCGGGACATGGAGTGACTGGAGTGTGGCTGCCCACGCCACACCCTGGACAGAGGAGCCGAGACACCTCACCACTGAGGCACAGGCCCTGGGTGAGCCCTCCTCCCCCTCCATCAGTTCCACCAACCCCGGCCCAGTGGTCTTGCCCATCTCTGTGGCCACCATGTGCCTGTCTGTCCGTCCACCCTGCTGTTCTTGTTTCTGTCTGTGTAGTACAGGTCACTGAGTGTGGTCTGTGATCTGTGAGCCTCTGAAGGCAGGATCTGTCTGGTGGGGAAGGCAGTGCTGGCCTGAGCAGAAAGCAGGAACACTGTGCCTGGTGAGTGGGTGGCACCCCAGCCCCAACGCTGCCCTGAGTTTCTTTCCCCCATGCTCCCCAGAGACCACGACCAGCACCAGCAGCTCACTGGCACCCCCGCCCACCACGAAGATCTGTGACCCTGGGGAGCTGGGCAGCGGCGGGGGCCTGTCGGCACCCCTCTTGGTCAGTGTCCCTTTCACTCTGACCCTAGCTGCCGCTGCTGCCACTGCTAGCAGTTTCCTGATCTGGTAAGTTGGGGGGCATAGGATGGGGGGTGCCCTCAAGGGGTCCCCAGCTCTCCCTCATTCCTCACAGCCCCTACCGTGTTTCCTCAGAACCTGGCACCCTGTGGGGACATGACAGAGCGCATGGAGCTGAGTGTGCACACAGACACGGGCAGGAGGACCTTCTGCATTCTCTTCAGACACAATTTGTAGAGACCCCGGCGGGCCCGGGCCTGCCGCCCCCAGCCCTGCCACACCGTGCTGGCCCTCCTTCCTCCGCAGCTAACCCACCCACCAAAGACCCCCTTCCCACCCTTGCCCTACCCTCTGGGGCTGGACCCTCCAATGCCAGCGACTCCCAAGAGCCCTTGGGGGGCCTGAGGGGAGCCCCTCACACCCAGAATTTCTCCTCCTGCCCTAGCCTCCTTTCTGTCCCAGGGTCTCTATTGCCATCATCAGAGTATAAGCTCCTGACGCTGGGGGGGCCCAACCATTCCCCTCCCCCCAGCACCCATACTTTTCAGCCCTGGCACCTGCACCCCAGTTTTGTACGACCTCTCCTAGCCTCTACTCCTATCCCACAGTATTTAATGCCCTGTCAGTCCCTTCTAGTCTGACTCAATGGTAACTTGCTGTATTTGAATTTTTTATAGATGTATATACAGGGGTGGGAGATGGGGGGGGGTTCTCATTAAAGGTCATCATTTCATGAGTTCTTGGAACAGACCCACTTTGGGAAGCTAAGCCTCTTCCAAGGACCCCTCCCCTAATAGGCCTGAATGAGGAAAAGGGTTGGGAAAAGTAGGAAGAGAGAGTTCAGCTTTCAAGCAGATGTGGCTGGAGAGAAGACTTGGCTTCTTGGGGGTTGGACTTTCCTGGAGATTGGCCCAGTACCCCGTCCACTCATAGACCAGGGCCACAGAGAGTCTAGAGCACAGGGTTGTGTGGAATGACAGCTTCCGATGTAGCCAGCCTTGAAGGTAGCTGAAGCCTTGGCTGGGGCAGAAATCTTTCAAAGGGCTCTCCAGAGCTGCCTTCCATGGGTGTCTAGGCTCACAGGGGCAGATTGAGAAGAAAGTGAGGAGGCCAAGCCTCATCTTTGGGTTGGGGCATGGTTTCTGCCAGTCTGGTCAGGCCTGTGGCTCAGCCAGACCATAAGGCCCCAGGGGACAGTATGTCCTGGTCAGGTAGGGAGGCTAGCACTGGGAATATGAATGGGGATTTGATTGGTGCTTTGGGACTGGAATTATGGATACAAGATATACGCCCAGGGTTAGATTATAGCTAGGACTCCCATAGGGTGAGTGGGGCAGGTGCTGGCTTTACACGGGTGACTAGTTCTTGGTCCAGTTCCTGCCTGCCTTCTAGTCCCTAGACTGGCACTCCAGGGTCCCTTTGACTTCTCCCTAAGTGGCCATGTGGCTGCCTCAAGCCCGCTCAGGTTCAGCCCCTCATAAAGGCCACCTCACTGAGACTCCCTAGCTGAGAATGCTCGGGGCTAGGCCTATGCTGGTAGTCCGCTAGGCCCTGAGTTTGGGGTTGTTATGTAGACCAAAGTCCCAATCTAGGGAGCCAGCCTTGACCTTGCTCTCAGTGACTGGAACAAGGAGAGCCAAAGCCATGAACACAGAGACACAGGCATGTCCACACTGACATACTCTCCACACTGCATACCACACCTGTGTTCTTCAGATTGTCCTTATCACCCCACCTTCTCTTCAGACTGGTCTCCTCAGAGCCACCTGGGGTCATGTCCTGGGAGGTGGAAGGCTCACAGTGCTTCAGGCATTGATGAATCAGGCATGAAAAGAGCACAGAGCCTTAAGTGGGGATCACTGAGGGGCTCACAAGTGAAGATGACTGGACAAGAGGGGCATTCCAAGTGGGAGACCCATGTAGAATAATAAAGGCATCAGGATAGAGGCCCACAGCTCTTCAAGCGGAACAGCCCTTGCTATGGAAGCACATGGCTTATCGTTCCAGGATGAACATACTAAGAGATGGCCTAGAGCTGTCTCTATACTCTAACTTCAGTCTACCTGTCTAGTCCTCGTGAGGTGGGGCGCAGGCCTGATTTTGCACTCAGATCTAGAAGGAGAGGGTGTCTGTGCCTCCCCATTTCTCTGCCCTTGAGGTGAGTGGGTGGGAGCTAGGAGTCTGCTAACCTGTGCTGCCTTCCTGTCTCAAGAGTCTTGGTCAGCCCTGACCTACCCGCCGCCCACCCAGGGCTTGGGCATTGACAATCTGGCCTCCATTAGCAACATGGGAAAGCAATTATGTGGGGCCTGGGGAGGAGCGGGCAGAGGAGGGGAGGGGGCCTGCTGGAGCCTCAGAGGCTGGTGGAGAAGAGGACTAGGGCATCTCCCTGCCCCCAGCCCCAACTCCAACCCCAACCCCGAGACAGATCCACGCTAACCCTGTGCCAAGCTTCAAGGTGGCAAGAGGTTGGTTCCATGCTTCTGACTGAACTGGGCCTGTGGTCATCCTTCCTTGAGGGTCCTGGCCCCTCGACCTCACAGAGGCCTCTCGCCTTGGAGGGTCTTGGCTGCAGTCTACCACGACCTCCCTGGAGTACTGTCCCTCCACATCTGTTATTTCCCGTGATGCTTCTGGGGAGCCAGGGATAAGTATAGACATCAATTCTTGGAGCTAAAACAATCCAGAGAATGAAAATATTGCTAGGGAGCTGGGGGGAGAGGGGCTAAGGCAGGGGGAGATTTGGATCCCAGGTCTAACGTACATAGTCTTCCTGCCTAAGGTACACTGGGATGGGGGAAACGCTGCTATGTTCTGGCCCACTAGTCCCCTGGCCACCTAATCTCCCAATGTGGCTCTGCCCTACTCCTACAACACTGGACTTGCCTCTACCCCAACCTTTCCCTACTGTTCCCATACCCATCCATCTCTAGCTGTCTCTCTGTCCTGTTTATATGTCTGTGTTTTTTTCTGTGTCTCTACTCCATCTCTATTTCTCTGTATGATTCTATCCCCTACCTTTTTTCCTGCCTCTGCCTCCCACTTGTTTCTATCTTTTTATTTCTGTATGTCTCCATACCTATCTCTGTGAGTCCATCTATATCTCTGTCTCCGCCTCTCGCCTCTCGGTCCCTTTCTCCAACTCCATCAGTCCTTCTCCCTGCTCACCTCTGTGTGTTCTGCCCTGGTCGAGGCCCTAGTCCATGGCCATCCAGGACAGTCGGGCCTGAACAGGGGGCTGTCCTGGATTCTGCTGCCCCCTCTCGGCAGTCTGCCTGCCCTTCATTCCTGCACCCAGGCCAGTGTCTGCACGTCCCAAGTTCTGCGTTCTCAGAAGCAAGCTAGGAGGGAGTGCTCTAGTGAACTCCCATAGGGTGGGGCCCTGAGAACATTCATTTTCACTGGGAGAGAACAGAATGCTTAGTTCCAGGACGCCCAATGCACTTGGATGTCTTTAGGTCCTGAGGCCCCCTGTACCCACAGCCTAGAACTATTGGACCTGGCCAGGTAGAGACAAGACCCTCAGGAGGTGGCACCTATCTTGAATACAGGGCTGAAGCTTTCTGAACAGGCTGGGTCAGGACGAGAAGGGGAAGTAGATCTGAGGAGGGAAGTCTGACGGAATTAATTCTAGGAGGAAGACTAGAGGGAACCCGATCTGACAAAACTATTTGGTGAAGGTGAGTCAATATTAGGAGGCCTCCTATGACAGGGTTAGTTTGAAAGGGGAGGTTGATGTGGACATATTTCTGAAGAGATCTTGTTTGAAGAGGATGGTCTAAGGGAGCAGGCTGATCTGGAGTGTGTCTGAAGGGGCCAGGTCTGTTGGGACCTGTCTGAGAGAGAGAGAAATGTGAAGGCACGTTGATCTGAGAGCAGAGTGATTAACTAGTCCTGGTTTGCCTGTCACTGAATGTATTATCTTCTGGGAAACCCTTCAATCGTAGGCACATGGGACAGTTTCTCTATCTGAGAAGGCTGTGTCTGACAGGGCTAGTCTGTAGGAAGAGACTTGTTAACTGCCGAAGAGTCCGACTTCATAGAGATCCTGTATAGGGTTTTCAAGGAGTAGCAGGTGGGTTTGAGCCTCTGACCTTGCGGTTCAAAATGAACTTAATAATGTATTATCCTATAGTGCCATACCAGGACTCCTAAGGAGGAGACTTCTTGTTAAGTGCAATCAAGTTGATTCCGACTCATAGTGACCCTGTATAGGGTTTCCGAGGAGTGGCTGGTGGGTTTGAACTGACAACCTTGTTATTCAAACTGACCTTGCAGTCCAGTGCATTAACTCACACTGACTAATTTCTGACTAATAGGTCAGAAATTTCTTTGGGCAGGGACCAGACCAGGAAAGGGTTGGGTAGTTAAGGTCCTTCCAGAAAGGCAGTGGCTTAAGGAGTGGCCACTAGGGGGCAGGCTAGGCTCTCAGGATATTCACAGGCAAAGGGCCCAGAAAGGGATCTGGGCAGGGTAGAGCTGTGTGCAAGGTGAGCCCATCTGCAGCAAGTACATCTAGTTATATCATTGTGTGTGCAAGTTGTGACTATGGGTAACCATGCAGTTATGTTTCTGTGTGGCTTGTTGGCCAGGGGTGCATCTATGGGTGGTGCCTCTAAGTTAGTGTGTGGCTCCTTTGGCCATGGCTGAAGTCTGCCCTGAGGCTGTAGGGAAGACAGGAAGCACCTTGGGATCACCAGAACAGAGAGGCAGGAGGAGTGCAGCAGTCAGAGAAGGTTGCTGGGAGGGGCTGAGGATGGGGGCAGAGATGTAAGGCTTCCCTCCTGCGCCTGCCCCTGTCCAGCACAGTATTCCCTAATGTTTCATTCAGACAGGAGCCACATGTCGGGTCACACAAGGACAGCTCCCATGCCAACCTGCACCTAGGCCCTGCCTGCCCCCTCTCAATTTCCTCTCCTCCTGCTCCCTTCAGCTGGCACTCTTGCCACCTGGACTCTGCCTGCTTCCTCATTGTTCCTGTACTTTCCTACTTCCACTCCTTGCTCATGCTGTGCCCCTGCCTAGGATGTCCACCTGTGAAGCATTTGAGGCCCCTCTGACACTGATGTTGATGCCATGAAATGGGCCCTACTCATGTGCTGAGGTCTAGTTCTGGGGTCCCTATCTTAGCCCAGGGACTGGAAAGTGTTGGGAACTGGCTTCCCTGGGTCTGAGGGGAGAGGCACAGACAAGGCAGTGCTGGGGACCTCTGCATTAAGACAGTAAAGAGAAGCCATCACAGAATCTTCCCAAGCTCCTCATTAACAAAATGAACAAGAGCTAAGAAAACCAAACCAAACACATTGCTACAAACTCCAAGGCCAACCAAAGAAATTATTTTTTATAAACTTGGTGATAGCCAAGGTGCAGTTAATGAGTGGTTAAGTCTCCTAATCTCCAAAAGTAGCATTGAGAAAAGATGAGTCAACAAAATGCTAAGAATTCTAAATACCTGTCATCTGAGGGAAGTGAGCTGGGGTGAGCAGGTAGCTTTAGGAAAAGTCTGGTAAAAACCTTCATGCATAGAAGCCCTTCTGCCCCTCCATGAGAGCTCAGCAAGCAAGAAGAGTTGCTGTGGCTTAGCATCTTCCAGGGCACAGGGCCTAGGTTGGTGAACAAGTCAAGCCCACAGGAATAGAATACACCCCACCTTTCTTCCACACCCCTAGCTCCCCATTCCCGCTGAGAGTGACCCTGGGCCTGGAACAAGACATCTAACAGAGTTTCAGAGGAGAGC